ATTTAAGATCGTCGATTTTTAATATCTCATATATTCGCGCAAAACCGCATGGCTTGCGCGAGCGAATCCGCATTCTGTTAAAAATATCTAGAAATCGATCTCAGATCTTGGATGAAGAGAGAAATGACCAATTGCATTTTAATTAAATATGCAATTTGGTCAATTAATTTAATGCAATCTGAGATCGATTTCTAGCATCATGAATACAAGGCTTTAGAAATTCATATGACCATTCATGATGTTAAAAATATTTGTATCATAAATAATCATAAATTTAATAATTTAAATGTTTAAATATTTATATTAAAAATCATAAGTGTATATTAATAATCGATAATAGTCGATACTTTTCAATTATCCTTATAACTTTTAAGCCTCTTTGACAGGCACGAGAATTTGTCTAGAATTGACGATCTTTAATACCTTGTCGGTGATATTTACGATATTCGAGTTTCCAAATTAACTTGCTCGAAACAAATCTGTCAAAATGTAACTCTATGTATGAGGATGTAGATTATTTCTACAAATTATAATAATAAACTTTTATTCTTACAGATATTTGTTTCTTTCATCATTTGGAGAATTATTAAATTGCTTTCTGATTTGGCGACTGTCCCTTTTATGAAAACGTGTCTTTAACTTTGGGCGATTGTCGCGCCGCTTCTGACGTATTTCAGTTCAGCGTGATCACGTCGACGATCAGTGTGTACATATGCATCACGTACTTCACGCGTATCTATGATTACTCAAATTTACATACGCGTACCACTCCCGCTATTGCGTGTTTGCAATTTTTGTGAGATTTCCAACATAGGACTAAACACGGAACGTCGCCGGAATATCGACAAGTGCGCATCAACGAGCAAGTGATGGGGGACGCAGCGATGAACGTCGCAGCGTCCGGTGGCGGCAGCGGTGGTGGCGGTGGCGGTGGCGGTGGCAGCGGCAGCGGCGGTGGCGGTGGCGGTGGCGGCGGTGGTGATGGTGGCGGCGGCGGTGGTGGTAGTGGCGGTGGCGGTGGCGGGCGGTAGTGGCGGTGGTGGTGGTGGTGGTGGTAGTGGTAGCGGCAGCGGCAGCGGTAGCGGTAGCGGTGGCAGCGGTAGCGGTAGCGGCAGTCAGCGAATCGTCAAAGAAGGATGGCTCCAAAAACGCGGTATTGTTATTTATATTTTGCGTAATGTTTATTTAAACCACTGTGGCTCCGCGTGTCATGCACTCCTTCTATGTAGTTGCGCATCAGCGTGCACTAGCATGTGGGATGTCACGCGTGCCACTGTGTGTCATTGCAACGATGCAAAAAGGAAAGTCTCGGATCTCGATATCAGCCGAGCGATCGAGTTTTATTTCCATATTTCCGCAACGAATGTTTTCATGTCTTCATAATTGGTAGTTTGCATATTTTCACATCTCCAAATATGAAGAATGTGCGATTTTACAGCGTACTTTATAAATAAAAGTATAAATATAAGTAAGGAAATATTAGCATCTTGGGAAAGTTGATTTTCTTAATATCATATTCTATTAAAAATCACATTTGATATGTCGTAAATTTTTTCTTTTCCTATTTTGTAATGTATTTGTAATGTCAAATGTATTTGTTGGAAATCTTGTAACATTCTTAGATAAGATTTCAATGATAATTCTAATGAAAAAAAAACATTGGATCTTAGAGAGAGGTTTAAGAATTTAAGGATTTAGAATTGAGTTCTTTCTAATTAAATGTTAAAAATAAAGAATTTTAAAATATAATTTGATACAATTTATTTGTAGGAGAACACATCAAGAATTGGAGGTCGAGATATTTTGTCTTAAGAGACGATGGTACACTGGTCGGATTCAAGGCAAAGCCTGATCCACAGATGGCTGCACAAACATCTACCCAGCCATTAAATAACTTTACAGTACGTGGGTGCCAAATAATGTCAGTGGATAGACCTAAGCCTTATACATTTGTTATTAGAGGCCTCCAATGGACAACTGTAATTGAGAGGACATTTCATGTAGAAACAGAGCAAGAAAGAGAAGATTGGGTAGCTGCAATTAGGTTTGTGTTTCAAAATATTAAACTCTTTGATGATCTATTATGTGATATTCATTTAATCTTTTTTCCATATTTTTTATAGATATGTGGCAGATAGGTTAGCAAATGAAGAAAATCAACAGCAAGAACAACCACAAATGCAACAATCTTCCTCTTCAGAAGATGTCGATATGGAATCCTCAGCAGGTGCTAGGTCTGACTCTTGTAGTTCCTTAGGTGTTATATCTACAGATATAGATGGTGGTAGTATCGATGAATTATCAGCAAAATTCAGCGTTCAAGGGACTTCAAGTAGTAAAAGTAGCGGCAAGAAAAAAGTAGTAAGTTATTAAATCTTTTGATTATTTTCTCATTATTTATATACATTATTTTACCTAAAGAGTAAAGACTAAATTATTTTACCTAAAGAGTAAAGACTAAATTACTAATGCCATATTTATTTCTATATATATGTTATATATTAATCTATTGTATTATTGTTTAAATCTATATAATTACTAACTTATTTAAAAATAATTTGTTTTGTCCTCTTTTTCTCTTTATATGTTTGTTTCAGACACTTGAGAATTTTGAATTTTTAAAAGTTTTGGGAAAAGGAACATTTGGAAAAGTGATTTTGTGTAGAGAAAAAGCGACGGGACATTTATATGCTATTAAAATTTTAAGAAAGGAGGTTATTATCCGTAAAGATGAAGTGGCACATACACTTACTGAAAATAGAGTATTACGTACTACTAATCATCCCTTTTTAATCGTATGTAAAATATTAATGAACATATATTAATGCACATGTTTTATATACATATATATTATTAAATAAGTCGATATTGTTTTGTAATTTTATAATTTATAGTTTAGAATTAATTGTTTTTAATAAATTCTGATATGTATTTATCATTTTCAGTCTTTGAAATACAGTTTTCAAACGGCAGATAGGCTGTGTTTTGTTATGGAATATGTAAATGGTGGTGAATTATTTTTTCATTTGAGTCGATCACGAGTATTTGGCGAAGATCGTACTCGATTTTATGGCGCGGAGATAATATCGGCCTTAGGTTACTTGCACTCGCAAGGCATTATATACCGTGATCTCAAATTAGAAAATCTCCTCCTAGATAAAGATGGGCATATAAAAATTGCTGATTTTGGTTTATGCAAAGAAGATATTACATATGGTTTGTATTATTCGCTGACTACGTAAGACAAAATGAGTGAAATATTGAATAATTTTTTATGATATTTCATATAGGAAGAACAACAAAGACATTTTGCGGAACACCAGAATATTTGGCACCAGAAGTACTTGAAGATAACGATTATGGGCGAGCTGTAGATTGGTGGGGCGTGGGTGTAGTCATGTATGAAATGATGTGTGGTCGATTACCTTTTTATAACAAAGATCACGAAAAGCTATTTACGCTTATTTTATTGGAAGAAGTAAGATTTCCTAGAACGATTAGCAATGAAGCGAGAGATATGCTTGGTGGTAAGTATCACTTCAACAATTACAAATATCGAATAAGAAAATTTATATATTTTTTTTTTTAAACTAATTTTACATTATAATTTTACATTATAATTTTTATTATAGGTTTGTTAATAAAGGATCCAAGTAGAAGATTAGGTGGTGGACCTAATGACGCTAAGGACATCATGAACCATGCATTTTTCTCATGTATTAATTGGACAGATCTCGTCCAGAAGAAGATTCCTCCACCTTTTAAGCCGCAAGTGACTTCAGATATTGACACTCGATATTTTGATAGTGAATTTACCGGCGAAAGTGTTGAACTTACACCCCCGGATCAGGGCTGTTTAGGTAGTGGAGGGGGTTTAAATTCTATAGCAGAAGAACAAGAACATTTTCCCCAATTTTCATACCAAGAAAGTCACTCAGCAGCAACTTCTTCCATTGTTTCTATTAATCACTGACAGTGTCAAGTGTTTTGCTTAATTAATGTAACGAGATATGTGATTCGATGCATGAAAAATCTCGAGCAAAAAATTTTAATTTATATATGTATCTGATGATTGTGTCTACAAAATTTAAAATTTTTTTCAATAGGCAAACCAAACAAATTATCTTTCTTTATGATGGCTTTTTTTTTTAAGAGATTTGCATTTTAAGAGATTGTCACATATCTCTAATGGCAAAAGAATTAGATTTATGCGTGTAAGCGTACGCGCGGATATTACACCTATACACATAATTATTCATAAAAATTGTATATGGCAAAATGTATACTAAGATTAGGTCGAGATAGCACGATTAATATTTGCATATAGACTCGAAAAGGAATATGACAGGGATTAAATTATATCCTTAATTGAAACGAGTTAATTAAAACTCCTTGAGACATGTTATTGTGAATATTGAATAATTTTCTTGTCATCAAGGAAATATGCGGTAATCGTAAGTATAATCTTTTATTTAACAAAAGTCGCACTTGACACATTTTCCAATTTCATTGTCACTTTATCTTATTTATGAAAGGGCAGTTCCTGATCTTTTTTTAGTTCAATAGATGACTGATATGGCAGATGCCAAAATAGGAAAATACAATTGGCAAAGAGCCGTGAAAAAGAAAATAGTTTGTCCATTGCGAAAGTAGAATGTGTAGTAAAATGTCAGCTTTAATTATTGTATAAATTGGAGGTCACTTTTTTAGCCTTATGAAAGTTGTCATTATTGATTAATAATAATTGGAGATGTGCGAGTATTCGACAATTATGGGCTGTATAATATTCGCAGCTTTTATTCAAAACATATTTGGCTATTTTTTTGGAAATGCTTTAAAGAGGAAATTGTTTAAAAAAAAACTTGTGGCTTAAATATTTTCTATCTATTATTTTTAGACTATTAAAATACATTAATTTATGATTTGTTAATGCAATGTCTGTGTCTATAAAATATTTCGAATTTTCTACTATAAATTTTCTACTATATTGCTGTAATTGGGCGTTAAATCGTGAATTGAATATTTGAATAACATTCAATTCCACAGTTCATCTAATACAGCTTAAAGTCTAAGAAATGGAAGATTTATGTAAGATTCTTATTATAATTTATTTACTCTCGACGAATAAGATTTGAAAAGTCTTTAGATTATTAAATCTATTAACATTTTGGTTCCCATATATTTGAAAGTAATACTTTGTATATATACACGTATTAATATGTTGCGTATATTCTTTATATAAATTAAAATGTTGATGATCCAGATCGAGATTATCTAAATTCTTTTAATCTCAAAAAATTATTTTTATTATAATTATTATGTAAAAATCATTTTTTAATGAAGTTTACAAAATAATTGTTTACAAAATGAATTATTCACCACTCACATCATCAGTGAAAAATAAAAAATCGTTGCTAGACAATATTGACACAAAATGATTTGTGTATAATTGTGATCAAAGTGCCTAGTAAACGATTACTCCTCGGAACAATGTAATTACACTTAAATGCAAATATGGAAATATAAAATTATTTCATAATCAATGTGATTGTCCTCTTTTACTTATCAGGATTACACACTTAATTTCTCTTTATATCATTGAAAATAAAATACGTTTTTCAAGAACTCATTGATTTAAGAAGTTGATAAATATTCAAGAAACATATAGAAAGCTTACAGATATTTTAAGAAATCATAGATGGAAAATATATTAGCCACAATCGCAAGAGAACGGTTCGAATACAACAGCTGGAACGAGTTCTATTTGAAATGTAATAAAATACGTGATATGCAAACCTTCGAAAAACTCACACGTGTCTAATTATGACAGATTTTAAATTGGAAAAATGTTTTTACTAAAAAAAAAAAAAAAAACAAAAACAAAAAATAAAAACAAAGGACTAATTACGTTATATATCTTTAAGTATCATGCATAGTGATTAATTATGAGTTAGATGAAGAAATATGAAAATCTTATACACTAATACTATATATATATATGCATATATTATATTTAATAATTAAGATTATATTGTTTTTGGCTATTTACTTAATTTAGTTACTCGATCTATAACGTTAAATATACTATACTATTTTTTATTGTTCGTGTATACATTTGGTCATAATACCAATACACATAAAATGTGTACCAAATTCGAGTTACAATCATAATTATACGTATACTTTATAATACACAGCCGACGTAAAAGATATACATTATTTACTAATAGTATCATTCAATAAACATCTATATTTTGTATATGCTATTTTAGTTTGTAGCATAATGCTAATTAAAATTAAATTTTTGTTACATTAATTTATAGGAGAAATTTCTATATACTGTGGCAAAGATTTCTCTTTTACGAGCCAAATTCTGTCTAAAACAGCACCTTCTTTATCATCAGATACCTATTAACAAACAGAAATTTTATAATTACATAAAAAGCACAGATTTTTGAGGTTTATCATCATATTTATTGTGCCATACCTGTTCTAGATATAAATGAGTCTTATTAAATACTTTCATTCTTGTATAGCCATAATCTGAACTACGAAATGCGGACCATTTCGGTCGATTTGGAATAAAATTCTCTCGACCTTCTTTGCAACCAGCTGATCCAGTAATGATATGTACAGGTGCTTTGTAATTTGTGTACGGTTTTTCGTAACTACCATTGTATACCTATAAGCATAAAATTTCCATTACGAATAAGCGCGAATATTTTCTCTCAAATAAACTCGACAGGGAATAATTACTTGAAAGTTATACATAGGCCACATCCTTTCATAACTATGTTCGTGCGCCCAGATTTCTAAATCTACTTTATGCTTGAAAAATAAATCTTCCAATCCAAACCAATTTAAAAATGGCAATCCAACTCTAACTAAACTTTGATGGTTGGTACAATCATCTGCATTCTTATTGCTACAATACATTGGTCTGTGTCCAAATGTTACTATCCATGGGCGTTGGGATCTGGGTAACCATAAAGTCGCTATCAATTTTCACTATATTGCATTATGATCTAACTGACAGCATACCTTGCTTCAGGTTTATTAGCTTCTCGCAAATCTTTATCCAACCATTCATATTGTTTAATCATTTGTTTTATACCATAATTCATAAAATAATAAGCTTCTGTTTCTATAGCTACAAAATGTACAGGACCTAAATTGAAACTATACCATAAACCTTCTGAATCACCTGGCATAGTAAACCGGGCCCTACAAGATTATTAAAAAATAGATTAAAATCGTTTCATAATATTAAGGATAAAATATTAATAGCAAGGTATATAATCAGTCAATACTACTCGAACGTACTTATAATTGCTAAAATTATATTTCTCTTCGTGATTTCCAGGTACAGTCATATATGGTATATATGCCGCAACAGATTCAATTTGTCGCATAAATTCGTCTCCTACACGTGCATCATCTGTGTGCATGTCATAAGCAAAGTCACCAACATGAATGGCAGCATCGTATAAACCACGTTCCGTTTCTTCCTGCAGTCGTGATAAACTCTGTGCGTTCTCGTTACCCATATCACCAAAGATAACTACTTGAGGTGACCAGTCTATAGCATCCTCAGGTATGGTTCTCACATAAAACACATTTGACCATCCATAATGGCTACCGCAATGATATACTAATGATAAATAAAAAAATTTACATTATTAGTATAATAATTTGAAAATAATAACAAAATATTATAAAATATGTCTTACTATATTTGCTGTTAGGTGTTAAATTTTTTAACCATACTCTATGGATATACTGTTTTTGTTTTTGCTTCCCACCATCAATGAAAGGAGTAGAATTTCCTTCAGCTCGCAAAACAAACCCACCTATACCATACTCTACTATTGATTCTCCTGTATCATTTCTTGTACTCCAAGTAACAACAATATCACGACCATTATCTAAAAATTATATTCAAAATATATGTTGTATTAATCATTTCTTTTATTATTGATATAAATATATAAATGAATAAATAAATAAATAAATGACTATAATAAATATTTTTATGTTGATGAATATTTTCATTCTACAATCTTCTTATGTTATCTGTTTTATGTTATGTGTTCTGTTTAGACTTCTTAAAGAATAACAATTAATTAATTATATTGCGATAATACTTACCAGCAAAGGAAAGATGTACAGCTTCCGGCTGATAATGTATCACAGTAGCAAGCGTAATAGAGAACAAAGATAAGATCGCAAATATGATGTGCGATAGCATCCTGCCTGTGTAAATCAGAAACAGGCTCAGATAAAGCGTAGAAATTGATCGTCTGATATGACAGTGCAAAAACAGAACAAAGGAATTAATTTGTATTTGCAAATTCAGCAACTCTCCATTGCTGAACGCATCATACTTACTAATTCAACGTATCCTATTCTGTGTCACTCGAAAGAACGACAATTGAGAGGAGAACTACAAACTTACATGTCAAGAACAAATCATAATTGCGTGTTATTTAGGAAATTTGTATGGCACTGTCGAGCGTATTATCGTTTTAACGCAATGACACGCTCGAAATAACTTACTCCCACTTACTATATTTCGTCATCAGACTGTGACTGTCAGGAACCGATCATTCCGTAATGCGAACAAAACAGGCCAAACACACGCTACGATTGGTCGCAGATAATGCCAGATATTTCAAATAACAGATCCTCATCTCGTTTGCCTTCCGTCAGCAATTAATTTGTCAGATAGTCTTCCCGTGCAATGTAGTCGGTCCATAAGTGTCGGTCCACAATAGGTGATTTAAGCTTTAAGAAGTAAGAAATTGACCAATTATAATCGAATATGAAAAGAATAATCGACTATGATTGGTCAATTTCTTACGACTTAAAGATTAAATACTTATTGTGGACCGACACTTATAAGTGATTTAAGCTTTAAGACGTAAGAAATTGACCAATTATAATCGAATATGAAAAGAATAATCGACTATGATTGATCAATTTTTTACGGCTTAAAGATTAAATACTTATTGTGGACCGACACTACGGGCCGTAGCATACAAAAAAACTTAGGTAGTAAAATTTAAACAGTTAGTCTCTACAATAGGTGATTTAAGCCTTAAGCCATAAGAAATTGACCAAATAATCGATTATTCTTTTTATATTCGATTATGATTGGCCAATTTCTTAAGTCTTACATCTTAAAGTGTCATTGTAGACGCCGCTTTAATCCCGGTCTACAGGTGATTTAAGCCTAAACTATAAGAAATTGACCAATCATAATCAATCATTCTCCTATTCTTCGACTATGATTCGTGTAATAAGAATCTAGACGGATTTATGTAAAATAGCTGAGACGATTTAATTGGATAACGCAAATTACGCTTAAGCGTGATCTACAATGGACAGTAGCAGTAGTGAATGAATCGTAAGCCGTAAGAAATTGATCAATCACAGTCGAGTGTGAGGCGAATTATTAACTATGATTGATCAATTTCTTACGGCTTACGACTCTTCCACTACTGCTATTGCCCATTGTAGATACAGCCACGCTTTATGCAAGTTACGCCATATGGGAAACCTCATTCTTGTAGAACGAACATGGCTAGCCAATGACGAGTCACGCGTCAAACACGCGAATGATGATTGGCTATAGATAATTCCGACACGGGATATTTTTCATTTGGATGGCGCTCGATTGGCCACGTATTGATTGGCCAATTTCAAATAAAATTTTATGATTGGCTGATCCAATGGAAAATCTTCAAGCATCGGTTGCTATAAATGTGTCGATGGCTGTATCTAATTGCAACGTGGTTAAATGGGATGTTTCCTTTCATTTAATTTCATGTCACTCGCGTATATTTAGATCTGTTACAATACTACGTTAACTTTCTACATATATATGAAATAGATCTATAATTAGATTTTCAATTCATAGAAAAAGAGAAAAAATAACACTTTGTGCAAAAAATTTGACTGCGAAGAACAAATCATACTTTCTGAAGTTTATTTATATAACATTAATTAACATGAGTGATTATTTTCTCAGAGATACTGATATGTACATACGTTTCATTTTTTTTCTAATATTCTAATATTGCAAAGAACAGCTAGATATGTATATAATATTAATATTAATATAATTTAGAACACAATATTTAAATTAATTTTAAAAGTTTCTTTATTTCATTAATATTTCTTCATTTCAAAGTTTCCTAAATTATTGTGTTTTTCTTTTACGTACGTAAATATCGTATAGAGAGAATAGCGTGTGTGTAAAACACCATATTATATCGAATTAACATGTATAATTATCGCTATTATTTAGTTTAGTCAGCAAGCTTCATAGGACAAATTTATTTTTGACAATTTCTCATTAAAATTATCATACAGATTCGTGTCTGTAACGCTAACCATAATTTTAAACAAAAATCAAATAATGTTTAAGTATATTTAAAGAGCATAAAATCTTTCCCCGTACAATATAACACATAATTATAAAAAATTAAAAAAATGTATTTGTTAGGATCTTTTATTTCTTTTAATAAAAACTCTCGTTGCGTTTATCATAAAATTAAGTATAAGAGAATGTAAGAAAGCATTCCTTGTAAACTATGTCGCAAATGGATAGTCATCAGTTTTACGAGTTCAATCGTACGCGCACATCGGCGTAGAATTGTCACTTGATTGGAAATTGAATCAGAACTGGAAGCAAGCGATTCGTTCAATTTCCAAAGTAGTTCTCGCCTCAGCAGTAAGGTTTGTTTAACTAGAACGCGACCTCGAGCTCGCCCCAGGATTGCCTGCGGGTTATTATTAATCCGTACTTGAAGTTAAACGTTATTCTTGATTGCAGATAATAGGGCAACGTTGATTCCGTACGGCGATACCGCGATAATGCAATTACATAAGACGGAAACTGAAGAAAGTCAGAGAGGGAGAGAGATCGAGAAACTAGAAAGGCAGTTATACTAAGCTAACATTCCCTATATTGATCTTATAATCTTGCAGTTCTCTTTGTCTCATCTTCAGTTTGCACGCACTTCCTGTACACATGCAAACTAATAAAAATGTAAAAAAAAACTTAAAAACGGTTCCCGAAGAATAAATAGAAATTATAAAAAATACTTCTTCTCGAAAGTCTTAAACAATTTTGAATTTTGTTTGTATATCATTATACAGAGGTAATATTGGAATATTTATATATTTCAAATTTTGCAACACACACACACACACACACACACACACACACACACACACACACACACACACACACATTATCTGTGGTAATGCATATCTGTTTCGATCTTCTCTGAATACGACATTATTCTTAATACATATGTATGTCGCATGAGCTTACGACGATAGCTCGAATTACCTAGCATAGGACGTTATCTATTATATCTATCATCTATGTAGTATTCTCACCATAAAGACTATTTTGTCATTCTGCGAATAACCGATGCCAACTCGGAAAGGTGCTACAAAACATTTAAAAATATTACGTGAGAATTATTTGCATTAGTTTTCCCGCATCATAAAAATTGAATTTATTTATTTATTTCCGTGATATGAATAATAATAAGCTACAATTTTATAAAATATGGCTTTACAAATTATTAAAGAAAAATATATATATATTTTTTTTTAGAGTTTGCAAGACTGATTTGCTTTGAAAACTGAAAGTGTGAATCTATAAGATTTCCGAAGTGAAAACTCATAGAAAAATATATTCTTGTCGGTTTCTCCTCCTAGAATTAGAGAAACGTGAATGTCATATAAGTTTTCTATTCTATTCTCGACGTAGTGAAGCAGTCCTCTGAGCATAGAGAAATCCCCTTGTGTAAATATCTCGGAGATCCAATATTGTGTGTTCGAGGAAAATGATCTTATATTCGTGAATTTAATATAGGATATTTGAAATTCCAGTTATATATCCTAATAAAGATTTGGTTAAAATTTTACATTTATATTTCGCGTCAGCTTCTCATTGCATAAATAAAAGTTATGTTTATGAAAAATCAAAAATGCAAAAATAACTGGAATTTAATATCTCGGTATTTAAAAACATTTGACACAACGAGAACTAGATTACTTAAAAAAATGTAACATCTTTGTTTTTATTAATATTTGATTTCGCGAAATCTCATGATATTCATATTTTTCTAATATTGAGAGTTGTGATCATATCAGAGTTATGAGATCATTACAGTTTCAAGTTAATTTTATTTTTTACATTACAAATTATATATTACATATGTTGAAGTTATTTAATATAATTTATAATTTTACTTAAAACAATTATATATGATATAAATCAGATTTTTTGTTTCGAAATTAATTTTGAGGATTAAATTTGACTGTAACTTGTAACTTTTGTGACGATAGTATATTTCATTGTTTTTTGTGTCAACAATTACTTTATTTGTTTTATCGGATATTTAAGAATATCATGATAGCAATTCATTGTCAGCCAATTTGAAAACATTTTGATGAAAATAACAATGAGTTGTAGGAAAAAGAAATAATTTTCCTTTTATTTAAAATTTAAAATCTAATTTTTTATCTAATTTCCGTACCGAAAAAAAAAGTTTTTGAAGAAAAATCATCGAGAAAAGTATAGTCAACAACAATTAAAAGCAGTCGATAAGATGCACGCAATTTTTTCGTGATTTTCGTTATACGATAGATATCGCCAGTAGCGCGATTCTGTAACTCGTTACGACAATATCGTTATATCGTCATTGCGCAGGCTTTTTTCCCATATATTATGCCTGTGCAACAACGATATAACGATAACGATTCTGTCATAATGAGTTACAGAATCACGCTACAGCTACGGTTTGATATATAAAAGTATCGCCAATATCGCTCTGTTACTCTGATAATACGCGCCCACCATACGCGCGGTCCTCGCGAGAGAATCAAGAGAAATTTTGTAATAACGGGAGAGAAAAATATAGCGCATGATAAATCATGAAATGTTGGTGAATAATTTCCAAAGTTAATTTATGATTATCGCGATTGCGAAAAGTACTGTTCTGTGCACATTTTGCACTCCTCGCGGCGCAGAATGCGCTCTCGATCATTCCCTGAAGCTGGCAGTGAAGGTACAATGTGAAAGTTGCGGCGGTACAATGGCTCGAAAGTCGAAGGCTGAGGATTGCCGCCAATGGGACGACGCCGGCGCGTGGATTGCCGCCGCTGACGCCGCTCCGTGGCGAGGGTTGGAGATGGCTTCGTGAAGGGTTGGAGGTTGCTCCAGCGGCGAGAGAGAGCGGTGTTGGCAGGGCTGCCGCCGCCGTCGGTCAACGCACATCGCGAGGTTCACACCCATCTCGCGCGTTGCGGGCATCTCGGCGCTGTCCCCCAGGATCGGTCTCGACATCGTCCGCGAGACAGAACGCGAGGCGGATCACCACCATCGCTTTCCCT